ATCTGCTTGTATTGCCTGACATGGGCTTCGGGATCGGACCGCCCGTCATAAGTTTTGAACCGCGGCACGACAAACTTTCTTGAAACCTCCATCTCACCGATCTCCCTCGTAAAGGGTATTTGTATGACTTCGTCCTCGGCCTCATCCTGGACAACCTTACCCTTTCTCCTGGAGTCTAACCGGGCTCTGAGATCAATTTCTTCCTTGACGGGATGCCTTCTGAAGTCCTTGAGTTCATCGGTAAGCCCCTCATTTCCTGGGCGTCGTGTGGATTGGGTTGAGTCCTCCTCGGATTCATCTCCCTTCCTCCGTCTAGACAAACCTCGCCGGAGGTCGTCCAGGGCCAATGACCTTGCTTTCCTTGAATGGTTGTCATGATGATGCTCGCCGGCTCTGGGTCGCTTTGGGGCCCTAGAGCTTTCTGCTTTGTTGCTTAGGTGGTTTCTTAGATCCTTCGTTTCCGCCTCCCGGGCGGGAAGCCCACGAAAAAGGAAAGAATCCCTCGATCCTTCGCCAGAGGCGGCAAACTCGTTGAGCCAGCTTAGGACGTTTACATTGTCCTTTTCCAGCTGTCGTAATCTATTGCCGAACTTTTCTTCAATCACCTCCGCCAGCTGACGAGCCAAGGGGGCTGATCCCCCTGACCTGATTCCCATACTGGTTTGAGGGGTAACCCCTCTTGACCGAGTAGAGACACTTTTATTCATATCGGTGTGATCCCTTCCTCCGTGATGACAGGGAGCTTGTAACTCGAGACTCCTTTGGTGGGGACTTTTTCCTTTCTGTCGAGTGTTCACCATGGTCACTGTTCTTTATAGAGAAAAAACTAGGAAAACTAGTCGTTTCCCACAGACGGCGCCAGATTGTGCCTGCAAGATCCTGCACAATATAAAAAACGAGAACAGATCTCTCCCTTGGTGAACTCGAGTGAGCCAGTTGAGTGACCAACCACGCTGCTTGGAACAGCCTGCGAGGTCCGGTGGTGACCTGGAACGGCAACGGGAGACCCTGGGGGAGCGGAAGAACGATCTAGTAAGGCTGAAAGAGGTTCCTGGAACAAAGAAGAACAAGTTAGAAGGGCGCCGGAGTATTTTTCGGCGTATCCCCTCCGACGATCTAGTCAGTCTTTTAGAAAGAGAGAGGAAGGAGAAAACACTGAGTGTGTATTGTCGTAAAGAGTTTTTTGTTGCATCCCCGTCTTGCCTTTTGCAAGGAGTATTTATACCTCAAAAGCTCATGATTGCTGTCAGTATAGTCAGTAGGTGATCATTAGGTACAGGCAGTGTGCGCACTGATTCTGATGAGGAATGTCTTCTCTTCTTAATTGCTCGGGGTCCCGAGCAATCAATGCTGGGTCATCGGGATGCAGACGGTACAATGTACTCCTCTCGGGGAGGATGCAATAAATGCTCTGTATTAGGAGCATTTATTGCCTTTCATTTCCGAGCCTTACCGCATTGAATGCGGTCTCATCAAGGGAATTGTGTAATTAATAGTTTGTTTTCCCAAGTCGCGTGTCAGCAACGGCATGCGGTTTCTCTGTCTTCGATGTGATATCATACGCCACGCGTCCATCCCCCATTGGCTGTGGCCCCTGCATTCCAGTACGTTCTGACACTAATTGTGTAAGACGAGGTCATGATGAATAGTCTAAACTAGCCTAGGCTTATGACCTGTACGTCAATAGCTTATCTTGGAGTAGAGGAAGCGTCTAGGACGGGGTACCTCTCGGCACCGAGGAAAGGCTCATCTCGGAACCGAGGGAGGTATACCGACCGAGGTACCATATCAGACCGAGGCTACGTGTTGGTTGTAACTCGTACTGAATGTCATGATCCTATATGACGAGTACCTCGGGGGCGAGGACCTTTATGCGCCGATGGTGCTTGATCTTAGCAACAGTGTTTTGGTAAATACCGAGGACACGTGTCTTCATCATGGAATATTTCAGAAAAGTCTCATCACCTGACATTAAAAGAAATAACAGAAACGTGATACCCAATAGAGAGAGATACACACATATTTAGATAGAGAGAGAGAGAGAGAGAGAGAGAGAGAGAGAATCTCACCTGTATGAGCGAACCAGCTGTGAAGGTAGGACCCGTCGGCCCAGTAGGCCAAATCTCCAATCCAAAGGGTCTGGACTTCTTCAAGGGACATAGGTTGGTGATACGGTAGCGAAGACGACATCATTGGTGTAGCCATGGTTATTGGAGCTGATGAATAGTGTTGCCCGCTCATCGTTCACTTCTGTTACTGGCGTGCCTGCGTTTCGATTTCGACGTCGACTCCTCCTCCTCTTCCTCCGCTCTCTGCCCCCCTCTCTCTCTCTCTCTCTCTCTTCCTCCTCAATTTATAGTTTCTCCTGTTGATGCTTGGTGTTATGGGCCTTATGGCAATGGAGCTGTATTCAGTCTAGTTTTTGAGTAATGCTACGGATTTCAAATGTGACTCACTAATCTAATAATCTACCCTTAATTTTGGTCCCTACCATTAGTCTTGTTAGTTTTTGAATCGGCTATTCTTTTCTTCTTTCTTTTGGTTCAACTGTGAGAAATATTTAGACTAGTTTATACACATTTTTATTTTTATTTTTTTCTAATTAAGTCAAGAGCAAGTTTTTCATGTCGAAATTAGGATATTTATGAAGAATAAATTTGTCGTGACTTGACCCTAATGAGTTGCTAAGATTCAAACTCAAGATGTCTGAATTTACAGTTTATCCTTATTATTATTTGAACTACACTTTGAGGTTTGAATCGGGTATAATGTTACATTTTGTATTAGTGTGTACTAATTGATTCTAATTATATTAAATATTTTGATATTAGTTTAACACGTTTATTATCATACTTTATTGAAATTAACCTCTATAACTCGCAACTAAATTTAATATTAACATTCCATTATTGATTGGCCAAATCCATCTCTCATATTTTCTTCATAGGCCAAAAATCTATTTAAGTTCATATAATATCAAAAAACAAAAAAGTAAAAAATTGCCATCATTTATAAATGCATTTCAATAAGTGATAAAAATTAATTAATTCATTCAACACAAATTTATTCATGTTAAATTTGAGTTGATCATATTCGAATTGGGTAATATTATATTAATGCTCATGTTTTTTAGTCATCGATAATATTGGGGATGACATTTTATTCATTAATATGAATACCACACAAAATTTGAAATTGAAACAATTAATTAACACGAATAATAAATATATCAAATTAAATTTACACACGAATAACCTGATTAACTGATATATGTATATCTTATCAATATAACGTAATCTACCCTCTCCGTAGTTTATGTCATGAATCCTTTTTTAATAACTTAATTCTTAATTAATAGAATAATTTTTAAAATTTCTCAAGTATCCCAAATTTTTCTCTCATCATTCATCGTTTTCCAGTCTCTCTCTCACACACACATACTCTCTCTCCCTTAAACCTATGTTTACTATATATTATTGCAATCAATTTTGGATAGATGATGCTTATGAAATTTTCCTTGATCAATTACTAATTTTTTTATTTTAATTATTTAATAATAATACATTGATCTCCCACAAAATCATTTTATTTTAACCTCTTTAATTTAACACATTAATTAATAATTTTTCAAAAATACCAAGGTATGGGGTGAGGGTGAGAGTGAGGGTGAGAGTGGCTTTATTTATTTTTGGATATTTTGATATAGTATTACATGTCATTTTATAATTAAATAATTTTTATTAACACGAATACAACATAATAAAAAATGACGTAATTCAAAGACAATTAGAACGCAATGACACGACAAAATTTGTTATGCGGAAGAAAATAATAAAGTTACGTTTACAAAATTTGTTTATTAAATTTTTTATTCCAAATAGTCCATGGGACAATATTATTATTGTACTTTAGTTTTAACTTAGAGTTACCGGCTATGGCCGGTCATAAAAGAAGGGAGAGAAACGTGAGAGAGAGTGAGTGAGACAGCCAATCGACAGCCAGCTATTTTCAATTGAGCAATACTATAAGAACTTTTAATTTGAGATTTAATGACGTAAGTTCAATGTAATTATTGAATTAATTGTGAATTTTAATATTAAATAGAGTCTACAATTAATCAAATAATTATATTGAATAATATTTCTATATTAAATCCTCAAATTAGATTTAAATAACATTTTCTTGAATTTGGGCTCTCCGTCTCTGCCCTTTCTTATACCCTTTCCCTAATGGATTTATCCCCAAAAGTCCCACTCAGGTCAGGCGTGTAGCCCCCACCAACCCAAATCCATTTGATTATCTACAAAAAAAATTAATATCCAACCTGCCACGTAAATAAATAATTTTTCGCTTTTCTGCCATATAAATTCAAGTGAGGTTTCTTTTTTTCATTTACGATTTTATTATTAATAGGTGATAGTATGTCATCAATGGTAACGTGGTATTACCGTTATATTCAATATTTACTTCTAAATTAAGAACCCAAATGACATGGTACCATATTATTTGGAGTCTTTATTAGGACTCAAATGACATGACACTAAATACAAATACTCAAATCAACTGTCATGTCATTTAAACTCTTAATTTGGTGACAGTGTAGTATTATTATACAAATTTTTAAATTTAAATAATATTGTTCATTTCCAAAACAATCGCATTTATTGACATATAGCGGGATAAGCTCACACTTATTGCGTATCTGTGGAGAATAAATGGTGGGTCAAAAACTGAAGTAGATACATGTGAAAGTGTGATTCACCCAAGAACCAATAATCAAAAATTATGTTTTTTCATGGGGCATCAAGTTATCATATCACTGTCCTACGTATAAACATGTCAAGTTTCAGTCCAGGAATGGAATACTTTCCTGGTTCTGTAGACCCCACACTATAGTCAGACTATTCTCATCCTCTGGCCAGAGAAAAAAGGTGGTATAAAGTAGACATGCACTCTCTCTCAGATTGTGGTTGGCAGCTACATATGTTTGCATTTGTTGTCAAGTAGACATGCACTCTCTCTCATATTCTGGTTGGTAGCTACATGTGTTTGCATTTGTTGTCTATTTGATTGTGATGGGCACCATGGAAATGGAGAGATAAGTTTTGGAGGGTGTCTAAGATTCCAAAATCTATACAAGTCTCTGGATTTTGTAGAAGAAACTCTTATTTTTTGATGGATGAAGGTTCCAAAGCTGGTGTTGGAAGGGTGCTTTGATTTTTCTTTTGGGACTCTGTGTCAATGTGAGTCTTTCTCTCTCTCTCTCTCTCTCTCTCTGTGGACTTCGAAGTTGATGGTCTTTTTTGATTGGTCTTAGTTTTTCAAACCTGATATGAACATTTGAGTCTCCAGGTTAGTTCATGAATCAACCTTGTTGGTGAGCAAACTTGACTTGGTTTTTCTTTTTTTGTTTTTTGGTTTATACATTTGCTGTCACCAGACTGATCACCACCTGTATATCTGTGAATTTTTTTTTCACTTTTGTATTAATTTGTTTTCCTGTTCTTTGTTAAGCAAACTTATTTCTTAACTTAATGCAATCAATCTTTAATGATTTTGTGATGAACTTTGCAGGATTTGAATCATTGTTTCTGAGAAAAATTTTCACTTCTGTATGGCATCATTGGTTTGATTAAACTAGCTGCCATTGGACAAAGTGTTTGGTGAAGTTCGATTACAATTATCTATTTATGGCTGAGAAAGATGATACATTCCCATCAGAAAGTAAAAGGAGGAATCCCCTCAGAGTATTTTTCAATGATTCAAGGCACCATTTCTGCTCTTTTCTTTCCATTTGAGAATTTTCTATAGACTGGTGTGTTGCTCCATTTCTAGAAAATTTCTCATCTATGTATATTGGATGGATAGATAGTACAGCTAATACTTTAGAAATAAGTTTCCTTTATATGCGAGAGTTTTGTGTACTGAGTACAAACTTTTATTACTCACCGTGACTGGTATGTTTCTCCACTTCTAGGATATTTCCCATTAAAGTAGTTGTTTAGATACCTTTCTCCCAACAATACAACTATTCCAGGAGATGCCAATTGTTTTTCAATGAATAATTGAGTGGGTAATAAAAGTTCTGTTGCATACATACATGCCTATATATGAAATACTTATGCACCTGTGGGCAGGTGCGGTTTAGCATACTGCCTGGCAAGCCTTTTAAAGCTCTGAAAGTAGCTTTGGCAGTGGTCCATGGTGGTCTTTAGTACTGAAGCACCCCCATTAGTTGGACTGCAGATATCCTAGAACAGAGGAGTATAAGGGAAAAGAATGGTTTCTATGCCCTGAACTCTCGAATGATGTGTATAGAAAGCTAGGAACTTTGAAATTTGCTTATTACATTTTAACTCTTATTTTATTTTCTGCTTCAAGGGACCCTTTTTCTGGCATTGTTCTTTGTATGAATCGTCATTCAATATTAATTGATTGTTATATTATTAATCACAAGTAAGCATTATTGTTAAACTTCCTATTTATATGCTAATTTCTTTTGAAGATAGATTAGAATCTGGTTTCCTTGCAGATCTTTGAAAGGATAGTCTAGGCCATTTGTTTTGAAAGAGGACGACTATTCATGCAACTTTATATTAAACAGAAAAAAAATGAAATTATGAAAATAAATGTCGCCATTACGTTAGAGCTCTCTTTCCCAAGCTCAATTTTATATCTGCGCTTAAGATGACAATCCACCATAAAAAGAAATGTTGGGGACTTCACCCTTTGGAGTGGCACAGAATGGTAAAAAAAATGTCTAACATTGTTTACTTTTCAATCATCTGGCTTCCATTTGTCTCCGTGATTTAATTTTACTTTCGAGGACTTTGTCTTTGTGACTTCTTTTTTGGTTTTTGGAGATTCTTGCAAGCTAACAATTAATTTCTTCATTTGGGTGACACAGACTACTTTTTAAAATGGATGAACTTGGTCTAGAAATAGCAAGGATTGCACTCCCTGCTGCACTGGCCTTGACCGCAGACCCGATTGCTTCTCTGGTTGATACAGCCTTCATTGGTCAAATTGGTAATCCCTTTGCATTTTCCATCTTCTTAATATATATACGCATTATATAGTTATATACGACACAAGTTAATGTATTGAATCTTAGATGCTTTGATGAGCCTAGTTGAGACTGCACTAGTCTAGTTGTCAATAGCCTTTCTTTTTAATTTTTGGAGATGAACGTTGAGAGTATTCATAATGACTTTTGTAGTTTTCTGATGATCAATTAGAGTTCACCTGTCTTTTCTCGTCCAGTCAAGTAAACCGTTACCTTTAGTATTGTATGCATAAGGTTTTTACTTTTTAAAAAATAATTCATATTGTACTAAAATTTGTCTTATTTAATACAGGTCCAGTGGAATTAGCCGCAGTAGGAGTTTCTATTGCTTTGTTCAATCAAGCATCAAGGATTGCAATATTCCCCCTTGTTAGTGTCACAACTTCTTTTGTAGCTGAGGAAGATACTGTCACAAAAGCAAGTCCTGAAGCACAAGAGAGCAAGAATTTAGAAATGGGTTCAATAATAAATAATGAGAATGAAAAGTTAATACCACAGAATGGTATGTCAGGTTCATAACAATTTTGTCAGTTTCTGTGAAGTTTATGCACTTCATAAAACTTCCAAATACATGTAATCCGTTATGAATTACCATAGTTTAGAGTCCTTTGTTCTGTATCAGAATCTAAGGAGAGTAAGTACAAGACAGAGACACTTGGTTGCAGCGTTGATGTAGCTGTGTTTAAGCATGAAAAAAGAAAAATTCCGTCAGCCTCATCCGCATTAATTATTGGTGGCATCCTCGGCCTCCTCCAAGCCACGTTCCTTATTTCTGGAGCACAACCTTTATTGAACTTCATGGGAGTCAAATCTGTACGTAACTTTGAGTGCAAATAAGCCTCTTTATCTTTGTTACATCTTGCTTACCTCTATCTTCACTATGATACTAGTAAATGGATATATTATGTTCTGATGGTAAACAATGCAACAACACTTTCACCTATGCAGGATTCTCCAATGTTAAAGCCTGCACAACAGTACTTGACATTGAGGTCACTTGGTGCACCTGCAGTTCTACTCTCATTGGCCATGCAAGGGGTCTTCCGAGGATTAAAGGACACAAAGACACCTCTCCATGCCACTGGTGAGTAAAATGATGAGGGAATGGAAAATAAAGACATACACATGCGAGCAGAGATCACAAGCCTGTTTAAATAAACCTAAACAGACTTAGATTGTACAGCTTATACTAATTTCCAATAGTCCAAAACAGGTGAGAGAGAGCAAGAGAGAGAGAGAGAGAGAAAGTCCCATTTCTTTCGTTTGGAGTTAAAATGTTCTTCTAATTCTGGCTCGTTTGTTTTTTGATCTCATGTAGTGGCAGGAGATATAACAAATATAATTTTGGACCCAATATTCATCTTTGTTTTTCGTCTAGGTGTCAATGGTGCTGCAGTTGCCCATGTTATTTCTCAGTAAGTTAAATTCAATTATATCTTCATATACTGTGATGTCACACTTCTAAATCTGTAATGCTATGGAATTTTCTATATCATATTGTCATGAAATCATCCTAACTCGTTGCATTGCAATTGCTATTCTAGGTACCTAATTTCAATTATTCTATTGTGGAGATTAATGGAACAAGTTGATCTTATACCTCCTAGTCTCAAATATCTGCAATTCGGTCGATTTCTTAAGAATGGTGAGGGTGTTCTTTTGCTTCAATGAATGCTCGACCAGTGACAACTTTTATCAAACAATCTATGTGGTTCTTGCCTTAGTTGTACAAGGCATTGTCATATTTTATTAGATGAAGCAGGAGCTTTAGCAAATGTGAGTGTAACACATGGAACTGGTTCCCTCATGTGAATTCCGTTGCACAAACTTTCCAGAAGTTACTGATTAATCAAGGCAGTCATGTAGTCCCAGAAGTTTTTTCCTTTCCCTTTACCTTTCAAGGGGCACTTTGGTTCAATTTTTTGAGATTTCGGTGTTATATAGTCATTTAAATATTGAAGTATTTGAAGAATGATCTGTTAGTTTTTTCTCTTATTCTTTCCTTGAACAGAGTCAGTCTCTAATTTATTGTTTTTCTCCTCCAGGACCTCCACTGTTATGAAATGCTACTGCATTTTTAGAATTTCAAGCCTCTGATCCATTATATGTTTGTTCTTGAGTTTCAGGTTTTCTTTTATTGATGAGGGTTATGGCTGTGACATTTTGTGTAACTCTGTCTGCATCTTTGGCTGCACGCCAAGGACCAACAACGATGGCCGCTTTTCAGGTCTGCTTGCAGGTTTGGCTGGCAACCTCTCTTCTAGCTGATGGATTGGCTGTTGCTGGACAGGTTGAAAATGATCTCTAGTCTACGTACTATGACTAGTATTTACATACTTGTCTTGGAAAAGAATGAACTGATGTCCTACTATGAAAGCAAACAGTGAACAAAATTCCCTATTAAGTTGAATTTGTTGATAGTTTTTCTTGCTCTCAAGTAGAAATTCTTAAATTTCTTCTGTCAAATTGAAAATAAATCCCAAAATGCTAGCTGGATATTACTGTTTGTCCAGCAAGTAGCTTATAGAGTGTATGAAATTGAAAAAACAGGCACATTCTACAGATTTTGGATATTTTTCATTCTAGTAAAAAATTACGAAAACGCAACATAATTAGGCAATTTGTTCTACATGGCCACAACTTAAATTTAACGATTTCAAAAATATTCCTTTACACTCAACTTGTCCAGATTGTAAACATCAGCAGTTTTTGCTCTCAGGCTATACTTGCAAGTGCATTTGCTAGAAATGACTACGACTGGGCAACTGCCACCGCATCTCGAGTATTACAGGTACTTAAATTGTCATGTAACAGATACTCAAACGCCTTTTCATTGCATGTTTTTCTCTAAAATTTCATGAGATTCGATATTGCAGTTAGGACTAGTCCTTGGATTGGTGCTAGCAGTGATCCTTGGAGTTGGATTACAGTTTGGAGCTAGATTATTTACAAAAGATGTCAATGTTCTTCACTTGATAAGTATTGGCACCCCGGTATCTCTTCGTGTCTGTAGAAACAAAACAACATTATTAGTATTATTAATCTGTTCAACCAATAATTGTAACTAAAACTTATCACTTGTCCTTCTTATCAGTTTGTTGCAGCTACTCAACCACTCAATTCCTTGGCTTTTGTTTTTGATGGTGTCAACTTCGGAGCATCTGATTTTGCATATTCTGCTTACTCTATGGTAAATCTACAGTCTCTTATCCTTATCATATGCATTTATATTTTAAATCATTTCAAAAATGTACAAATGGTATGATATGGTTCTGAATTTTATCTTTTAATTTTAGTACACTATTATTGTGGGTTAAATTTTTTTTTTTATATTTCTTCTTTAAACCATGTGGGGGTCATTGATTTCCATTTTCACTATCAAATTGGAAAAAAACTTACATAAAGATTCTTTTGTCTTTAGGTACTTGTGGCAATATTCAGCATCCTTATTTTGTTCATTCTTTCCTCAAGTCATGGATTTATCGGAATCTGGTTCGCCTTGACCATCTATATGAGTCTCAGAGCCCTTGCTGGATTTTGGAGGTAAATTTACTCTCTCACTTAGAGACTCAATCAATCATACCATTATATATAAAAAATGTTATGAAATTAAACAATGACAATAAAGTGAAATTAAATCAAAGAACGATAAGAATGCAATCCAGACAATCACACAACACAAAATTTACATGGTTCGACAATTTGTCTACATCCACGAAGCTGCAGATGTTTCACTATTCTCAAGAATGAATACAGAGAAGGCGGCGGCTGTATAGAATCAATCCACCAATCCTAATTATCGAATAATCAGTTTATATATGTCCTGCGCACAAGGTTACAAAATGGATCCAAAAAATTTTTCTCAGGAGCAACCCCCACGAGGTTTGTCCATGAGCGCTACGGCTTGGGCCTATCTGCCCAAACTTCCGCTCCATGGACTAAGCCTCAGAAAATTTTCATTAAAAAACCACGCAACATTATTTGGGTCGGGTCAACATCCGGATCTCACACAAACTAGACTCCACAAGAAGAAATCCAACAAAAAAAACCTATCGGTTGAGTTACTGAAGAGAAATTCTAATAATTTTTTTCCTCCTACATTGCAGGATTGGGACTGGAACAGGGCCCTGGAACTTTCTGAGGAGATGAATGCGTGTGGGTTATAGTTTAAGTATGGTTCCCTGGGCAAAGCAAGGATTTGGACCTTGAATTCAGGGTAGAAAAGCAATAACCTAGAACTAATAGGGCCATCTTAGAATATTAATGCTTTAGGGGGCCATGTCTATGAATTCAGTATTCCCCCCCCCCCCCCCCCCAAAAAAAAAAAAAAATCAAAAGAGTGTAGTAAATTACCGGTTTCCTTTGTTTTCTTCAGAAGGAAACTGTTTGTGGTAGCTAAGTACTTTTTATAGTCGTCCTATATATTGGTTTATGATTTCAAAACAATACAATAATGGTACTTTTTTTTTTTGATCGACAATAAGGGTACTTCAATTATATATTTTGTAACTTTGGTTATTTGTTTTCTGAATTTTGTCATTTTAGTCCATCAGTCTTTCACTTGCATCACTCTTGTCCAAACGAAAATTAGAGTTTAAGTTACTTTTATGGGGAAAAGGGACCCACATTACACAAAAAAAAAATTAAAAAAAAAATCACAAGTCAATAGGTCCAAGCCAAAAGTTTGAGTCGAAATGGGTAATACTCCGTCAAAGATTAATTGTTTTAATATAAAAAGGCATGTCGTCTACACAAAATTCTCTCTGTCAACAACTCGCCAAAATCAATGGAGCCATTGGATTTCTTTCTCCCTAGCTCATCATTTTCTCTCTCACTCCAACGAACACCATCTCTTGTAATCCATACTGATTTGTCTTGGATTTACCTACTTGACTCGCAATTTCAAGTAAGAACCAAGGTAAAGGTGACTTGAGAGAAACGGGAACTATGAAATTGCATAAATTTTGCAACTTTAATTCTACAGTTTTTAATCCTTTGTATTATATTATATGTTATTTATAGACTAAGGAAAATGTTGTATTTGTGATTATATATAGAAGTTGAGTGTAACTGTGTAACATAATACACTACTCTTGTTCATAATTTTTTCTCTTTCTCTTTTATTCGGTTTCTAACCCTCACGCTCTCACAATCTAACTTGATATTAGATCAATAATCAATCTAATGCATCAAAATTTTTGAAATTCATCAAAAATCATCTCCCACAACAAATATTGATGCATGTTAGACACTAACATGCTAGTGTCAGCATCTGACAGGTTGACGTCAACATTAACCTATGTCAGAATTTTTTGATTTCAACATGGATTCTTTGACTATATATTTTGAGTATGATGACTATTTTTTTGGATTTTTTTTGAAGCCATTTGACATATTTTTTTTAATTTATAAAAGTTTTTTAGTTTTTCGGCTCGATTTTCAAATCTAGGCTATTTTTTCAACAGGCTGGCTATTTTTTTTTGAGTTGAATCTGTTCGAAATAGGCTCGGCATTGGGTTTTTGGCTGACCAATGGCCTTTTTGCTTTATATTGCTTTTTTTGGCTCAATCCTACTCGATGAGATACGACTAGAGGTAATCTAACTTACCCAAGGAGATTTGTTGTATTTGGATTGAATTTGTGACATTTTTTACTATTTTTTAGGCTCGGCATCACTGTTTCTCCTTTTTTTTGTACTTCCGCTACTTCATATTCTATTTTTATTCCTATCCAAAAATTTGTATAGCTATTGTCAACGTTTTTTTTTTCTTCAAGTTGAGGCATATTACTTGGACTGTATTTGCTTTCTAATTTTGTGTATTTTTTACGACTATTGAAATTGTTGGCTATTTTGTTGGTTTTGTGACTTTGTCGCTGTAATTGTTTGACCCTATTGTGTAGACATGTTGGAAAAGGAGTGTAACCTCTATTTATTTCACTCAAGAGGAGATGCAGACTATTCGGCATCTGATGGTTCGACTTGATGTTTCGTTGAACTTTGCTCATACAAGTATATTTGTTAGTGTGTTTACTATGTCTTCGTCATATACTCCTAGGATAATAGATTTTGAAGCCACGAATCACAGAACATGTTCTTTTAGTATTGTCTCTTCATATTATACTTGTTCTAGTAGGGATAAAGTTCAGGTGGCTGATGGATCTATATCCTTTATTTCAAAAAAATGTTCAATTAAATGTTCTCCCCCTTTATCTCTTTTATATGTTCTTCATGTTCTCAATTTCTCCATTAATTTATCGTTTGTTAGTGGTATTATCAAATCCTTATATTGTTCAATGACATTTTTCCTATTCATTGCATCTTCAGAAACTGAAATCGAAAAAAATAATTGGCAGTGGTACAACACATGGTGGTTTGTACCTATGGGATGTTGAAGCTTTTTTTCAGTCTATATGTCAAGCTCTCCAGACAAATGATTTTTCAATCCTTCAACTTTTACATCAATGGCATAAATTTTTAGGGCATTCCTCATTTAATATTTTAGAGCATTTTTTTTTCCAATTTAGTCAAGCAGAGTGGTAGATAATTTTTTGTTTGTTATCTAGTAATATGTCAACCATACAAGAACGCTATATAAATATCCTCTCTAAGCTAGAACATGTGTGCTATGAATTTTAGTTTCAATTTTGCCATTTCCATAGTCATTAATGAAAGTTTCATTTTTATCACTATCAAAAGATATATGAGCAATCTTTTCAAATTATAAGGATGATTGGATTTATAGGTTCCATTTAAAAAAAGTGGTGAGAGGCATTCATCTAGTGATCCCTATTCATTTGGGGTCCATAATATCTTTCAAGGTGTATTATTATACTTACCAAATTGTTTATTAAATTTTGTATATTAAATCAATGTAGGTGGTTGAATAAGTGAGTCCTGCTCACTCTAACTAAACATACAATGTATAGAATTTTGCCACATCATTTAGGATACAACATTTGGTAAGCTCATTTGGAATGCAGAATTTTATTGTTTCCCTATATATATATATATATATATATATATATGTCATAACTCGTGTGTGAAGGTTCAATAAAACATATGATTCTAGTGTTTAAAAAATTGATTCCACTATATTAAATTTAAAATTAATTTTTTTGCTTACATCATTTAAAATTAATTCTATTTATTATTTTCTTAAAAATAGTATCAAAATTTTCTCAAAATATATAACTCGACAAAGTTTTCTCAATATGTGTACACTATCGTGTATAGATAATGTATGAAATAAAAGTTGTGTTAAATTATAAATTAATCAAATATTAAATAATTAAACATGTGATAGAATTAAATGATATGATTTATATTGGAAAAAAATATATAAAGAATAAAAATTTACATATATAGGCATAAATCTACATCGGTGGTTGTGGTTTCAGTGGTGGTGGGGGTGGGTTGTGGGTTTCGGTGGTGGGGTTGGGGGTGAATTTCGATGGTGGTTTTGAGTGGTCAGTGGGGTTGGGTTATAGTTTTTGGTGTTCCTACAACTGAAGTCCGGGTGATTCCGCCACCCTGGATTATATGTTTCAACATACGGGTTGGAATAAGGCTTGTTAAAATTGAAAATTGCATGTGTTTGTTCTAACAAGACTTCTTTGAATGTTGGAATGGTAGGACAAGACTTCTAGTAAGGTGTTCTATCAGTGCACCAATCCCACACACTTGTTTTATGGAAGGGCTAACATCGACTTGATTTATCTTTTTTATCTCTAGAGCTTCAAGCTTTCGAGACAAGGTAATCATTTTCGCTCTCAGATCATCACCTTCTTTCAAAACATACTTTCCCCCTTGAGAAGTAGATGATTGGCTTCAATAGTGGTAGGAGAGGCTGAGTCCCACATCTGAGAACTATCAGATATGGTGTCAAAAAAATTGAATACCTCCTCTGGACTCTTTCCCATGAACTCTCCATGAGCCATCATTTCAACAAACTGATGTAGTTTAGTGGGCAAAGAATCATAGAAAAATTATACCAAAGTCCAATTCTCAAAAACATGGTGTGGACAGGATTGGAGAAGATCCTTGAATCTCTCCCAACATTGGTAAAATGTTTCTTCCTCTTTAACCGAAAAATTCATGATTTGCCTCTTGAGTGCATTAGTACGGTGTAGAGGAAAAAACTTTCTGAAAAACTTATTCTATAATGCCTACCAATTTGGTATTGAATAGGTTGTCAAAGAATTTAATCATTGTTTAGTTTTGTCCTTTGAAGAGAAAGGAAAAATTTTTAACTTGGCCAATTCATAATTATCTTGGAATGTTCCACATACCTCCTCAAAATTTTTAATATGCAGATATAGGTTTTCTGATTCGAGTCCATGAAATTGAGGTAGTAATTCTATTGTCCCCCTTTTACATTAAAGAGGAGCGCATTTACAGGAAACACAAAACAAGAGGGGACACTATTTTGTGTGGGATGCAAATAATTCTGTTGAGTTTGAATGTTAGGAATTTTCCATTCTCTCTTAGGAACTTGTCCTTGTCTCTCATTATTGGTCATGCTATTATCAAAAGAGTCTGCTATTGATTGAGGTGAAGATGGTCCAGACTGATTTACAAACTCAATAGATTCTTTTGGAAAATTTTGAAAGTGAGGATCGTTCTCAGATATAAAATGAGAATTATATACAGTAAATCAAAAATATATACAACAAATAAAGGTTGTTACACCTTTTACTTTAAAACACTTTTTTGACTCCCCGACAACGGCACAAAAAACATGACTTTATTCGAAATGTGTACACCTAAGTGCAGGCCGTCAAGTTGTAGTTATAATCCAGTTAAGTCCGGAGTCGAATCCACAAGGAATTTATTTTGGTGTTTCTAAACATGTAGTCAATCATCCAGTTGTTATATTTGTGCTTGAGAACTCAATTAACCTCTGTGTCAATAGCAAGTTAATTGGAGGATAAAGATGGACTGTGAGAATTAAGAGCATGGTTCCAATGTCTTTATAGAGATTTTCAAGAATTGTCTGTGTTGGAACTCAATCCCTCTACAAGCAAACAAGTAGTTCTATAGGTCATCCAATCACTGCGATGAAGCACAATAATTGTAAAGATTGAAATATAATCATGAAGATCTAATTGGAGTACTTGCAAAGAACCAATAAATCCTCCTATGTCAAGAGTCATGTTGTCTTAGAAAGGACTCATGGTTGTACAAAATACCTTAGTTTTGCTAGATGCATTCAATCATTCAATAAACAATCAAAAGATAAAGTATTAAGCATAAATGAAATGCACAAATATAACTTCGAAATGATTTATACATGTCCATCACCTCTTACTAAAGAGT